GCGTTGGAGTGAAAACCGGAGCGGAATCTCTCTGGAGATTATGCCTATTAAAAGTTGTTGACTAGCATTGACAACGAATCAGAGTGCAGCTGTATACATGTAACAGCTTCACCAAACTAAGCAGTATTAGTGCTTTATAGTAGCTTTTATTCGTCTTTTAAGTAATACATTTTTGTTTATACGTAGTTTCTAGTTTAATCTTATTTGTTCGTTATTTTTTTGTTTTTTTCTCTGTTTATACAACTATAAAAACAACTTCTGTAGTATGGTTTTCGTGTTGAATAAAAATTATAAAATTATTATATCTTATCTAATGTACGTGACCTTTCACTTCCGAAGTCCCGGCGATTTTGAAAGACTGCTTATATACATTGGACATTTAAATCGACTTGTTTTCAGTAAACATGGTATCGTCATTGCATTTAGAAAGTTAAAGTATCCATCTCTGCGATCGAATCGAATCAACATTTAAAAAGGTAATGTTTACTTTCATACAGCCACTCATGAATAATCAATGACATTATTAATAATTAATAGCAGTCAAATGCCTGCAGATGCGTCCAGTCGGGATTTCTTTAGCGGTCGGGTTAGTTTTCGCGATCACGCTAAAAAGACTAAAAGAACAATTAGTTATTACGTTTTTTAAAACAAAAAAGAAGTCCCGACTTTGCCAGTCTAGGTGTTATGATATGTTGATCCCTTTTTGTAGTAACTTGTCAAACATCAATATAGAACACAATGTCGTATAATACATTGAAAATCAAAACTCTCATTGTAGTTGGGGTATAATGTATGCACGACCGCCTATATTACTCTGTGTTAAGTTTACTCTGTATAAACTGACTCGATTCAGTGTAATATGGCTAGGACAATGTCATTGATTTCTTTTACTCATGAAAATCATTTTTCATAATTCGATGATAGCAAATGAAAAATAACGGCAATCGATATAGTAGAACACAAATATTAATGTCGTTCTTGTATATTTATTATTACCACCATTCACGTCTATATCAATACAATCGTGGCCAGCTTGTCTATTACGACAATTTAACAGTCACATTCACAGTCTGCAAGTAAAAACACAGAACAATATAAGAGAACGTGACACGTACTTGAACGTGTAAAGTAAACATTGCATAGTTAAACTAACAGTAATTCACTAATAAAACTTGGCACAATTCTGTCAAATTCTTCACCAAATAATTGTACTAGACACGGTTTATAAAAAATGAATAGCTATACATACCCTTTGCTATCTGGCAAACAAATCCCTTCTTTTCAGAGCAGTACTCGTCGTCATATGCACCCTTTCTCCCTGGTTTGTACCTATTTACAATGGTAGATATAAAGTTATACACTGGTACATAGTTAACGATGTTATAGTACAAAATCAATTAATATCATTTATCCTATATATTTCCGTGAAATGAAGTGGTGTCATAAAGTTGATATCCCCCACTATGCAGTAAAATGCAAGTAATATAATGTTAAATCCCTAACATATTAAGTTAGAATATCGCGTCGTATTACCAAGATTATGAGTGAATGGGCGTGATCGATGTCATAGGGTCGTTGTATAATAACCTCTTTATCAGTCATTGTTTCACTATCTAAATATGCTTTGGGACAAATACAGGTGATTTCGCAGTAGATTTCATTTGGAACTAGTTGTCTCGCGAGATGTGTGCACTGAACGACACAAAGACTGGCTCGGTCGAAACGGAACACTTAATTGTTGTTTGGTTAAACGTGATATTAATTTAAAACTAACTATTATGTTTGCCATGATTGCTATGAAGTTTACTAAATTATTTTCTTAACCATTTTGGAGAGTCTGAAACGAAATAACGGCTCGACAAAATGCAGCTTGGATTTACCTGCGCGATTAATGGAATGTCGGTTGAAAGTTATAACATTATAGTAAAAGTTATAACATTATATATTCCAAATGTGATGAAAAAATAATTTTTGTTGAAAAGTCATCAAATAGAGGATCAGATTTTACTGCAGGATAAAAAGGGTCACACCACAGGTTATAACGGGCCCGGGTTACGAGAAAGTATACACAAGGCAACGTTGGTGGCAATGATAGCCTTGTCATTTTACATATTTTACTGTGTTTAGTATTAATTTAGTGAGATATAATTGCCCGAAAGTTTTTGAATATTTTCCAAATAAGGAAGACAGTTGGACGCGCCGGAAACTCTTTGGAACACGTCTATACGTAGTTTTACGGACGGATTCAACTTTCTTGGTATCAGATGTGTAACAATGCATCATATAACAGGATAAATCTCAGGACCAATATTTATTATGTGGTCATTAACAAATACATTAATAGCTTACCACAATTGAACACAGTTTTGTCCATCTTCGTCATTACTGTGGTTGTCATTAGGCTGATCTACTGCCCAATCCTCATAATAAGAACACATTTGAAAGAACCATGAAAAGTACTCGGGATGTCTTTTGTGCCTTGGTAGTCGAGGTGGATTCCTCATATCTCTGAATCCAATCCAGAATCCCCAGTTACACAAATCGCCTTTCCACTCAAGAGGAATAGATTTCTTGATGCCTTTATGAGTACCTTTCTTGTCTATGGTAGCGAGTCCAACACCGCCAGGAAGTGACAAACAATACTTGTTTGCGTCAATCCAATTCATGCCTTGGTTGGTGTCAGGATTTGTACAGTAGGCTTGGTACTCGTAACAAGTACATTGGTGGGACGTGTCTGAAGAGAATTTATAGAAAAACAGGTCACTATTTTATTATCAGTATGATTTAGATATGCCCCCTTTCCTGTTAAACCCTTTCTACCCCGCGGCATGAATTTGTACCGTCTAATTTCGTATTC